CCAAATTTGAGGAGAGCAATCCAATTGCATACACCAACTTCTTTGCACCAAACAATGCAGTTGGCTTTGACGTATGAGGCTCATTACACTTAACTACGTGTGTCCTTGTCCTCTGCTAACAGTAAATTTTTTCCTAAGTCACTGAACATTGTAGAACCATCGAATCCAGTAAATAACTTCGTGCCAACCCACAAGTCCAGTTTTCCAGCTTTACCATCTACTGTGCCAATCACCAAATCCAGTTTTCCGTCTACTGTAACCAGCAAGAAGGTGAATCATGATTACTTGCAAAAAAGAAGAGATTTGGGATTGTGCTACACTTGTGATGAAAAATGGACTTCCAAGCATGTATGTAAAGGGAGAATGTTGTTGATGTTGGGTGATTCCGAAGAGGAAGTGGTGGAAGGGGAAGAACAGATAGTTTGGCAACCTGAGCAACTTCACCAGGATCCCATGGATGCAGCACTCCATTCCTTGGAAAATTGAGCAAAATCCCAGAGCGTTGCGATTTCAAATTCGATTGAGTGGCAGGTTAGTTCCTATTCTCATAGACTCTGGAAGCTCTCATAATTTTGTTCAGAAAGAGTTAGCTGCTAGTTTGGGACTGCCTATGATAAGAATTCCTAGAATGCGAATATTTTTGGGAAATGGGGAATTTTTAACTTGTGAGAGGAAATGTCCAGCTGTTGTGTTGAATATTCAAGGCCATGAGTTTATTGTTGATTTATGGGTAGTTGATCTGATCGGTTTGGGAATTATTTTGGGCATTATGTGGTTGAGCTCTTTAGGACGGGTTATCCATGATTATGGAGATTTGTCCATGGAGTTTAATTGAAACCATTAGAGAGTATTATTAAAAGGGGATGGTGGCATAAAGCAAGGACTGACTGCTGAATGTTTGTCCTTATCTACTACTGATACCGAAGCCAGTACAGAGAACAGTATATCAGAATTGCTAGCAATCAGAGAGAAAATTCCTTCAGTTGTGTGGGAAATTTTGTTATATTACCAAGATGTTTTTCAGATACCTCAAGGCCTACCTCCTTCCAGGAAATATGATCATGCTATCCATTTAGCAGCAGGGGCAAAACTAGTGAATGTGAAACCCTATAGATATCCTCATCACCAAAAGTCTGAAATTGAGAAGCAAGTGGCAGATTATCTAGCACCTGGTTTCATTAAGGTCAGTAGAAGTCCTTTTTCCTCACTGGTACTGCTTGTTAAGAAGCAAGATCACTCTTGGAGGATGTGCATTGACTACCAGACTTTAAATAGAATAACAATAAAGGATCGTTTTTCGATTCCCACTATTGACGAACTCCTTGATGAATTGAAGGGGGCTACTGTGTTTTCCAAATTAGATTTAAGAAGTGGGTACCATCAAATAAGGTTGCTACCTCAAGACACTCCCAAGACTGCTTTCCGGACCCTCAAAGGCCATTATGAATTTTTTGTGATGCCATTTGGCTTAACCAATGCTCCTTCCACTTTCCAATCGGCAATGAATCAAATGTTTCGACCTTATTTGAGGAGATTCACCATAGTTTTCTTTGATGACATCTTAGTATATAGTGTCTCTCTTTTGGAACACTTGACCCATTTAAAACTGGCTCTGGAATGCTTAAAACAGAATCAGCTCAAGGTTAAGATTACTAAATGTGGCTTTGCTTTGTTTGAGATTGAGTATTTGGGTCATCTTGTTTCGGGTGATGGTGTCAAGGCAGATCCAAGGAAGATTTCGGCCATGATGGAATGAATGAGCAAGAGAAAAAGGGGAGCTCCAGCGTGGGCTAGGGACTATATGGTGAATGTATGAATGTGCAATTGTGTGTATCAATAGCTGTGAGTTGTATATTAGTATATCAGTAAGGGCATTTTAGTAATAGCTGAGATATTGTAATAGGAGGTGGCAATTAGTTAGTTTTCCATGTGCCAATTGGTAAGGAATGTGCATGTTGTTAGTTGAGGTGCCATTCTATAAAACAGACATCTGTAATCGAAGAAGGACATTGAGAATAATAAAGTGCTTATGAATTCTTTAATTCTTGTTCCTTGTGTCTTTGTTTCTCTGATAGGGTTCTTAACCCTTAACAATATTTCATGATAGATTCTGCCATACTTTCGGTGAAAATATTTTTTTTAAATAAAATGGTTGACCAATCTTTTTAATAAGATTCTCCAGACGAATAAGATGCCTGATGTATGGAGGAAAAGTATGATTGTGCCTATCTACAAAAACAAGGGAGATATACAGAATTGTTCAAACTATAGAGGCATTAAGCTAATGAGCCATACTATGAAGTTGTGGGAGAGGGTTATTGAACATCGCTTGAGGAGAGATACCAAGGTTTCTGTAAATCAATTTGGATTTATGCCAGGAAGATGTACCATGGAAGCAATTTTCTTGATGCGACAACTAATGGAAAGATACCGAGAAAAGAAAAAGGACTTGCATATGGTGTTCATAGACCTTGAGAAAGCATACGATAGGGTTCCAAGGAAAGTTTTATGGTGGGTCCTGGAGAAGAAAAAGGTTCCATTAAAGTATGTAAAGGCAATCAAGGATATGTATGATGGGGCTACTACATGTGTAAAAGCTTGTAATGGATCATCAAGTTATTTTCCTATCACGGTAGGTGTACACCAAGGGTCGGCTCTAAGTCCTTACCTCTTTGCCTTAGTTATGGATGAACTAACAAAAGATATTCAAGAGAAAGTGCCATGGTGTATGCTTTTTGCAGACGATATTGTGCTTGTTGATGAGAGCAAGGAGGGTGTTAATAGAAAACTTGAATTGTGGAGAAGCACATTGGAATCCAGAGGATTCACATTAAGTCGAAGCAAGACTGAGTATCTGAAGTGTGAGTTTTCTCTGGTACGAGATGAGGACCAAGAACCTTTGCATCTAAATGGTCAAGAGGTAGCCAAAAAAGATGCTTTTAAATACTTGGGCTCCATTTTACAAAACGGTGGAGAGATTGATGAGGATGTAAATCACAGAATCAGAGCAGGGTGGATGAAATGGCGCAGTGCATCTGCATTTTTGTGTGACCGCAAAATCCCCCTGAAGTTAAAAGGAAAATTCTATAAAACGGCAGTAAGACCGGCAATGCTATATGGAGCAGAATGCTGGCCAGCACATAGGCAACATGAGCATAAGATGGGAGTAGCAGAGATGAGGATGTTAAGGTGGATGTGTGGTTACACAAGGATGGATAAGATAAGAAATGAAGATATTCGACGAAAGGTCGGAGTAGTACCGGTAGCCGAGAAGATGAGAGAACATAGATTGAGGTGGTTTGGGCACGTGATGAGAAGACCCATGGATGCTCCTGTAAGAACAGAAGTTTGTTACCAAGAGCTCAACACAAAAAGAGGCAGAGGTAGGCCGAAGCTTACTTGGGGGGAAGTAGTAAAACAAGATTTAATAGAGTGGGATATAGATTGGCGGACAGTATGTCTTAGAACGGAATGGAGAAAAGCTATAAGTATGGTGGAGGGTTAGACCCGCCGTTATTCCTATGTTCCAGATGGTCCCTTTTTAGTCCTTTTCCCCTTCATTTCCCCCACTTCTTCTTGTCCCTTTCTTTTTTACTTTTATTTATTTATATATACATATATTGTTATTTTATTTTATCTTATTTTATATTTTTATTTTATTTGTTTATTTTTATTTATTTATTTTTGGCTTTTTTACTTTTTTACTTTTTTTTATTTTTTTTATTTTTTTTAACTTTTTTTCAACCGTTTTGTATCTTTCATGTGGGTTCATCTACCACCGACCACAATTAATTTGGGATAAAGGTGTTGTTGATGTTGATGTTGAAAGGAATTATATATAAAATATTTTTAATCCTAAAATTTGAATTTCATATCATGTTATGTTTTATCTTTATCTTTATCTTTTTCAAATTTATAACCTTTTCTTTTGCCATTTTTAAATCTGCAATGATAAGGATAATTTTTTTGCATTTTTTTTTAATAAAATAATTGTCACGTCTGACCTTATAATTAGATCAGGACTACTAATTAAAATAGGATTAGGAACGCGGCTAATCCATTATGTTCGTATTGAGGCTGACGGTAATTCTTAATTTTCTTATAATATAAAATCATAGAATTGAAATGTTATATTTATAAAAAAAATATTAGGGATAGTATACTATGTGTTAGAATGTACTATTTCTAGTTCATAGTATAGTTTGTAAGAGTTTGTAAAATAATTTTTTTCAAAAATCATAGATTTATATTATCGGGGAGGGTTATATTTACAAACTTTTTTGTTTACAAACTCTTACAAATTACACTATCTTCTTCCAGGAGAAAACTAGGTCATACTATCTTCTCCCGGAGAAAGATAGTGTAATTTACAAAAATTTGTAAAAAAAATTTGTAAATAGATCCTTCCCTTATCAGAAAAATAAAAAATCAAAGATTTCACGAGACTAGAGAAACAAGTTTTTAAATTTAGGTCATTTTTTCACAATCAAATCTGTTTTTAGTAAGTAAATATGCAATTATAATACTAAAAAAATTAACAAAAATGAGTTTAATTTAAATAAAGTTTTTTTATAATATTTTTCAATCATGCATTGTAATATTATTAAAAGTGAGTGATTTTCAAAATAATTATTTTGAAAGCTCAACTTTTTAATTATATGACATTAACGATTAAATGATACATACATTAAAATTAGATTAAAAAATTATAATTAAGTAACTAAGCAACGTCCATAAATTTCTGCAACAAAGTGTGTTCTCATTTAAATGGTTTCTTTACTTATTTGGCCGCTAGAAATTGTGAAAATTATTACTTTAGTGAAGTAAAAAATATCACATCACATAACATAGTCATTTATACGATAGATTAAATATTTTCATGAAATTTAAACTTTTTGAGAATATTGTAGAAAAATTTAGTAATAAAAATATCCTACCTCTTGTTTCAAAGTATATAAATATTTTCCCTTGGCCTCACACACGGTGACAGGTGCTTCCACTTTAGTCCTCATTCTTTTTCCTCAACTTGTTCTTCATTCTTTCCTCGTATGCATAATGAGCCTCTAATTTGTGTTGTTTTTGTTGAAAGTCTACTCTTTCCTCCAACCGAATATATTCTTGTCCTTCCAATTCAACTGCCACCACTCGTTTTCAAAAGCTCGATAAACAGAACCATAAGGAACCCTTAAAAAAAGATTTTATATGAAAAAACAAAGTATTGATTCCATTGTGTTAGTTGAATTCTATCCTTGCTCTCAAAGTGATGCCAATTATATAAGAAGACTCAACAACATAAACCCCCGGTTCTATTCTATATTCTACTTAGCCTTTTTCTTCTCTTGCTTTGTTGTTCTTTGCTTGCTTATCCTTAAGGATTGATATCAAGCTCAGAGTTAAAGCTATGGAACGTGGGGTTCTTGATGCTATCATCAATAGGCTGCTTGAAGTAAGAGGGAAACCTGGGAAACAGGTTCAGCTTTCAGAGGCAGAAATCAAGCAGCTTTGTATGGTCTCCAGAGATATCTTCTTGAAGCAACCCAATCTGTTGGAACTCGAGGCACCAATTAAGATATGTGGTATCTATTTGCCAACACCATGTTGTTTTTTTTCTTTTTCTTTTTTCTTAAACACTTCCTAGATTTCTAGTTAATTTATGTATATGGCCTTGACTTTTTATGTGGCTTATCGTGTTGGAATATAATATAAATCATTATATCGTGTAAAGAGCTAATTCAACTCAAAAGCTTAGGTTGGACGGTAAGGTTGTATTAATAATTTTATATATCTCTAACATTTGATGACTTAATGAGTTTGACATCGAATATTTAGTCTCGCACACAATAATTTGGTTCAAGGTTGCTGTAACTTATGGGTTTAAAGTTCCTAAAGTTATTATAGATAATTTTATCTAATATTCATCAAAATAAACACAAAAAAATATATGGGGCCATTTTTTTCTCTCTTCTTTTCATATGGGTCCACATGGACCCCACACATGTTTTTATGTTATGTTGGTAAATATTAGATAAAATTATTTAGAATAACTTTATAAACTTTAAGCCCTTAATTTATAAGCAAATGTAACAATAACATCCAATCTTTATCTCACTAGGTGGGATTTTTTTAATGTGTTGGAGGAGTGCAATATATTTTACTGTCCTTTATAAAAATAGGAAATTTTTTCTTCCATTTATACTCCTTTCTTCTTTCTAAATCCCTTCCTAATCTTTTTTTTTTCTACTTTTGGAAAAGAAGCACAAACTCCATAGCATAATAAACGAGCTACACTAGGTGGGGTCCGCTACAAAGATCAAACAATTGAGCTCCATTATAAATTAAATTTTGAATAAAAATATTTTGATAAGGGTAGTTTTTAATGGTTTTTCCTAAAAAAAATTAGGAGGAATTTTTCTTTTTAGGTTCGAAATTAGGAACATAATTGATTATTGCAGTGGAGATCAAACTGAGATGTTGGGAAGTTGTTTTCTTAATCTTATTTCTGAACTCTTAAATATTTATGTGGAATTGTCTAAAGGATATCGTTGGATATTGCAGTGATGGTAGAGTATCATGTTTATTCAAATTAGAATTAGAAAACCTCTACAAATGATGTGGCTTAGAAAAATTATTTAGAATGCAATATATTATAGTTTTTGGGGATGTTTAATGTCTTTGTTTCCCTTTTTTTTCATTAGTTTATCAATTAATCGATTAATCCGATGGAGCCGAATAGAATCACTCAGACTCCAAAGTTCTCCCTAACAAATTTTTAACATAGCTACAACGTACCTATTACTCAAACTTTGAGACAATTAGTTAAGGTGTAACAATCTCGTACCAGTTGATTCATGCTTGATGGTTGAATTGTCTCTTCTTATTCTTAGTGCTTGTGCAAGTTCTGAATCATCTACTTTTTACTTGATTGCTTTACAGAACTATTCACAGTACAACTTTAGATTTTCAGGAAACCGTTTCTATCTACCAGCTATCAAGTAATATAGAAATTTAATTGTCTTCGAAAAAGATTCGGTCTTCACAACCCGATATACCTGCAAAGGTTTACTAAGGGATATTGTCCATCAGGGGAATGAAATTATACTAATGAATCATGAAAATGTGATAACCCAAAGTGAAGTATACAGAGTAGCTCTACTACAGCAGCTGAGATGCCTCGAAAAGATGAACATGTCATAACCCAAAGTGAAGTATACTAACGAATCAGGTCCATTAGGGGAATGAAATCATATTTTCTTGGGAAATGCATCCCATATTTTCACTTGTAAATAATGAGACATGAAAATGTTACCTTTGCAGTTCAGGTGCCTTGATTTACTCTTGGGTATATGATGACTCAGCAAATATGTTATTAAGTGTGACTGAAATAGAATACGGTTACGAAGAAATGGAAGGGCGTTTGGTATAAGAGAAATTTTTTTGTATCCTAGAATCACGATTACCTGGAATATAGCTGGAACAAAAATTGTCTGGGAATTTTATGAAAAAGATGTTTGGTAGGACAAAATATTACCAGGAATATAGATTAATTTTTGTGAATGAGTGTTTGGGTGAAAACATAATATTACCAGGAATATGATAAAATTTGATAAAAGTACCCTCGTCAAGAATAAGTAAGAAAACACAATTATTTATACAAATTAAAAACTATTTATGTTGTTTTAAAGGAAAATATTAGTTTTGAACACAAACAACTGATATAGGCAGCAGCTATAAAATAAAATATCATCCTCACAAAATAATATACCATGTGCTGCCTTGTCTGATAGTAGTCCACTCTTTCATGCATTGACAAGTTATATTTGTCAAGGTTCTTAATTAGGAGGGTAATATAGTCTGAGAAATTGCACCCAAAATATTCAAAAACTGGGAACTCAGGATTACCATCTTCTAAAGGGGAATCAGAAATCAGAAATGATAGTGTAAAATGGATGCCAGGGATTAAACTATATCCGGTCATATTTTCTGATTTCCTTCTACCAAATGTGTGCATAAATAATTCCCACTTCATAATTCCTGGACATCCACTATATTACCCCATACCAAACAACCCTGGAGGGAAAAGCTATATAAATAGTGAAGGGCTGGGAACGTGGGGATCATGTGGGAATATTATTGGACTTGTGGAACCTTCGGAGAGAGTAAGATCTCTCCAATTGTCTTACAGTATCATTTATTGTATTTTCTTTATTGTGGTTGCATTTTTTCAATTCTTTATAATTCTTGTTTCTCTGTAACCGTGACTCTATTCAGCATCTCTAGTTGTAATTGTCTCTTTTCACTAAGAATATATGAAAAATCTGATTATTCGGGCCAAATTTCCCAATTTCTTTGTTATTGTTTGCATTTGGGTTGAAGGTTCGTAACAAATTGGTATCAGAACTCTTCAATCCAGGGGGTTTTGAACCATAGCAATAAGAAGCAACAAAATGAGAAATCAATTATATAAAATGAAGATTCTTATATTTTTTGGGGAAGAAGATGCTTAGGGATGGTTGATTCAAGTTAAGCAGTACTTCCAGGGAAAAAGAATTTTGGATACTGAAAAACCATCGGAAGCTAGGAAGACGTTCACCGGTCAAGCTCGAAGTTGGTATCGATACTGGATTTGATTTAATCCTCATGCTATCCAGTGGACATTTTTAAAAGCTTTCTTCAAGGAATTTCAATCGGAGGTTTGCTTGGAGGATGACGAAGTTGAATCGGAGGATGACGAAGCTGAATCGGAGCATGAAGTTTTCGACTTGGATCTTAAGTCAGAGGCAAAGATGATACCGTTGAAAGATAAGGAAGGAGAGGTGGAAATCAACAAAATATTTAAGGGAGAAGGTTCACCAACACCACCACCAGAACAGCTGCTCGAAGCTATGGAGCCATCGACGACGGAGTGTGAAAAAAATTCAAGATGACTCCGACCATTAAACAGAGCCACGCAAGTGATGGCACTGGCATTAGCGATTGACCCACCCTCGTTGCCAGAACCACTGGATTTGGACCTCAGAAGCTGTACATGGTAACTAAGTGCAGGAGCAATGGTGGCTGGCTATGTTGCATCGACACTAACACGGAACACGGGATACGACACGACACGACACTTCGACACGTTAATTCTAAAAATGTTAAATTTTGACACGTTAGGACACATTTTGATATTATATAATATTTTTAATTTATGTAATTTATATTATATTTAGTATTCAACAATTTAACAAAAAAATAAAGCTAAACTTATAATACCTATCAATTTTGTAAATAAACATAAGATATTCTAAATGTTTATATTAAACTTAATAAAATCGTAATCATAATCTAACGAATCTAATAGTTGAAACTCAAAATGCAACGAAACGTAACCTTTAAAACTTTTTTTAGTCTTTGCAACGAGTATTAGAGTGTCGGGAAGTGTCGGAGTGTCGGGGAGTGTCGGGAAGTGTCGGACACGACACATTAAAATTTTTAAAGTGTCGGTACTTCATAAATGATTGGGGATGAATGTGAAACGCATGAACAAAATACAACGGAGAGGAGAAACCCAACAAGGTCAAAGTTGCAATTGGCCAATTTCTAAATTCAGCCCAAATTAAGGTGTTGTTTTTTCAAACCCAAGTTAATGATTATTTTTCATATGTTTCTATTTTGTTGGAAGACTGGGCTTGTAATCCCATGAGTTTGTATGAGTTAGTTGAGCCCAAAAACATGAGCAAGGTCTAAACAAGATGGACTTGATCACGGACTTGGCCACCCAGAAACAAGAAAACAGTCGTGGGCCTATCAGGTTTGTCATGGACCCATTAGCCCAATTTTTTTCCCAACCACAAATCATAGTCTTCTTGGTTTACGGTGGGAACGACTGCTGAGAACCACATGAGCGCGACGGAGCATCTGTTTCAGGTTTGGCACCGCTCCCATCTCCCTTCCGTGGTGGCTTGAGACACTATTGAGAAGTATGAACCCGTTGAGGCAAAATTGTCGACAATTGGAGGGGGCTTTCCAGCAAGCTGGTCTCAAGGAAGGGGTGGAATCTCAGTTGCGGAGGGCTGCGCAACCAGTATACAGCCCAACTTTATGGGACAATTGGAATCTTTGTAGAGGTTGGGTTAAGGGGTGTCGATGATCATGTATACTCCAACTTTATGGATGTGGCAGTGATAGAGGTTGTTACAACATTTCTAAATGTTGATAGCATTATGGTTGAAGTGGCAAAGGAGGCCAGCAACATTACTAATGCAGAGACTCTTGAAAGCTTATTCAAAAAACCAAATGGAGGAATTTAAGAGGGGCAATGGGACCCTGCGTTAGAGGTGGGCAGTTCCAAGTACCCCAAATGGAGGGTTCTCAAGTGGATTCAGTTTCATGGGATTTTTTTGGTATTGGCAGAATGTGAATTTGCTATGAGAATTTTGACTTATTGTCCTCATGCATTGAATATACAGCCCATTACAAATTATTTTGCTATCACTAAGAATGCTCCTCAAGTTTTTGCATACACGAGAGATGAGGATGGAATGAAGTTTTATTGGTCAGTAGGGATTGAAGAAGTGCAATGGGATCCGAGTGGGAATCATGTTGAGATATATAGTCCTACATTGATTGTGTGGGCAACTAATGTGACCTTTATAAGGCCTTTGGCACTTCCACCCTTCGAGTTAGCTTTTGGGGTAGTGTATCCCAAGATTCTTTACATGATATAAGTAATGAGATCCCGGAATAAAGTTTTCAAGAGCTGATGTGCACCTTGAGGACAAGGGAAAGCAATTTGGATGAGTCAGCAAATATGTTATTAAGTGTGACCGAAACAGAATATGGTTAAGAAGAAATGGAGGGAAAAGCTATATAAATAGTAGAGGGCTAGGAACCTCTCCAATTGTCTCACACTATACTTTATTGTATTTTCTTTACTGTGGTTGCATTTTTCCAGTTCATTGTAATTCTTGTTTCTCTGTAATCGTAACACTGTTCACTATCTGTAGTTGTAATTGTTTCTTATTTCCATGAATATATGAAAAATCTGATTATTCAGGCCAAATTTCCCTGTTTCTCTGTTATTGTTTGTATTTGCGTTGAAGGTTCGTAACAGTATACTTTTATAACTGTGTCCTATGTATCCATTTGTATTTTCAATGATAACCAGAGCTTGAGCTTATTTAAGATGACTGGGGTAGTTTAATCACTGGGTTCTTGAACTGAATGTTATTGTGCAATTTTTACTGGAAGTCGGGTATTATGTACTTAAGTTTTTTTTGTTACATTGATAAAAACATATGAGACTCATAAAGAAATCCATGGAACAGATTTCATGTTCATTCAATGTGTTCTTTGACTAGAGATTTTAAATTCAAATCACCTCGGAGTCTAATTGCATCTCTTCACCTTAAACAGAGATTGCTTTCTCTCATGTGGAATATTATGCTTATAAGTAGTTATAGTTTTGTCATATTCAGTGCAATTTTGTTTATTAATATTCTGGACTATTTTGCACTATTTTCTCCATGGTTCGTTATTCACTTGTGTTTCAACTCACACATTGCGAGTTTAGTAAATGGTTGATATTTTTATCTAGGGAAATGAAGGATTTATTTTGTGGTTGAGGTCTAATTGGCTGATGCTAATCTATGTTAATCCTATGTGATTATTGACCTTCAGCAGTGTCATAAACTCTCTCGTGAAAATGTCACATGTCTTATATAACAACATAATGTTGTCTCGTGGCAACATACCTCACAATCATGTGTGCATTAAGCTAGAGTTTTATGCTTTTTTGTAAGTTTTAAGCGATGGCTGAAGGCCTGAAGCTTTTCCCAATTTCTCACCTCATTATCTTCTCGCAAAACATTTAAAAACTGAAGATAGGGAAAGTATTTGTCTAATACTTGAGTAGTTCACTCCAAGCTAGCAAATATTACAAAAGGTGACATATTTTAAATTATTACAACATGAAATTCGGAGATTGTTAAACAGAATAACCATATTCTATACTCTCTGTTTTTTGGGCCTTATTATGGCTATATTATATTATTGTGGTTATTTTATTATAATGTAAATATGCATATTCTCTTTTTGGTGGTTATGTAGTTGTTGTTTAATGTAATATTCTGAAAAAGGCAGGAGGCCAGTGTAACTTTCACTACATCTAGGCAATGTTGATGTAATGTACTCTAAATTGTTTGTTCCTCTGACTCAGCTCCTGTTTCATTAAGTGAATCAGTGCTCCGAACGCTAGTTTTATTTTCTCTAATTTTACCTGAATTTATATTGGGTATGACTCATATTTCATATTCAAATAATGACTCTCGTTAGCAAGACGCATAGAAAGTCAGTAGTAGCTTTATAGCATGATGCTACCCTTTTAATAAGCATGTCAATCTTCTGCCTAAGTGACAATTAGTTTTGGATTCCAATTTCAAATAATATTTTTTTGGGGATTATGGAAATTATCATACATGAGTTTCTTCTGTCAAAAAAAAATAAAAATTTATTAATAAAAGGTATTAAACTAATATCTTGTTTCATTTCACTATGCTACCAGGAGATATCCATGGTCAATATTCTGATCTTTTGAGACTTTTTGAGCATGGTGGATTGCCTCCTCGCTCCAATTACTTATTTTTAGGGGATTATGTGGATCGTGGAAAGCAAAGTCTTGAGACAATATGTCTTCTTCTTGCCTATAAAATAAAATACCCAGGAAACTTTTTCCTTCTTAGGGGAAACCATGAATCTGCTTCTATAAACCGTGTCTATGGATTTTATGATGAATGTAAAAGGAGATTCAATGTCAAGCTTTGGAAAATATTTGCAGATTGTTTCAACTGTTTGCCTGTGGCAGCTCTCATTGATGAAAAGATATTATGTATGCATGGTGGACTCTCTCCTGAATTGCACAATCTAAATCAGATAACTAGTTTGCCACGTCCAATGGAAGTACCTGAAACTGGTCTATTATGTGACCTACTATGGTCTGATCCTAGTAAACACACTCAGGGTTGGGGAACCAATGAACGTGGAGTTTCATATACTTTTAGTGCTGGCATGGTGACAAAATTTCTTGAAAAACATGACCTTGACTTGATTTGTAGAGCACACCAGGTTTTCACATATATATGCCTTTATGGTTTAAATATGAAATTATGTACAAAAGTTCGAGTATGTAACCTGCTTATATATTTCTTTCCTTTTTTTCTGTAGGTTGTTGAAGATGGATATGAATTTTTTGCTAATAGACAACTTGTGACTATCTTTTCTGCGCCTAATTACTGTGGAGAGTTTGACAATGCTGGAGCAATGATGACTGTGGATGAGAGTCTTACGTGCTCTTTTCAAATATTAAAGCCTGTGGATAAAAGGCCCAAGTTTGGTTTTCGGAGCACAACTTCATTTAAGGTTAGTAGTCCAACAAAAGTCTTGGTGTTTTAGTTCTTCAATCTAGAATTTGCACTCGTTCAGTGATAAATTATTGAAATAAGTCGTGATTACTGACTAGCATAACTTTATACGGGAAGCACAGTGCTATTAATATAACTGCTACTAGTGTCCTCAATAGTACTGACGGTTATGTATAAGTGAAGAACGTGAGAGAAACACAATCCTTTTCGCCCTTCTGAGTGAGTCTCACTAGGTGTGAGAGGAACATTTTCACCTAGTGCATGAGGTGAATAAACAAGGAAATGAGGTTCAATATAGTGAGGTCACATTTGTCTCACTTACTTTTAGATGCAAGGGTGTAACCCCTTAAGTGTGCCTTGGTGGCAGACCCAATGGATAGTGTACAGAACAATGTCCAAATTAAAATTAAAAATAATGTCTAAATTTCTTTTTTATTTTTTACATTTATGTTGCAAATTTCTGCTAAATCACATGAAAGGACGGGTGAGGATAATCCTTGTAGATGCTTTTATATATTTGTATAGAGGTTATTTTCGAATTCAAAATCATAATTTTTCAGTCATAAAAAAAATAAAACCTTTATAACTGGCAACATATTTTTCAAACTCGCCTTATTGGGAAAAATCATGACAACATTTTTTGGTTTTAATTATGGGTTTAAATTATCTTATGTGGGAGAGTTCTCTCGTGTTAGTGAAATATTAAAAGTCGTGCCATTTTTTGTTTCTTTTTTGGGTTTTTAAAAAGTATTTTATTATTCTTATGTTATATAAGAAAAAAATTATCTCCCGCACACATAAATTCAAGATGGGTTTCATTTTATTTTTTTTCTCTCTTTCCTTAAAAGTGGATCCCACCTATACAAATGAGTCACTTGGAGATGTAGAGCACCTATACAAGTGTTCTGATACCATGTAGAGAATTTTAGGATACACCACCCTAAAAGCTAGCTCTAAGGGTGGGAGTGTCAAGGCCTTATAAACTCCACATTAGTTGCTCATACAACCAATGTGAGACTATATATCTCAACAGGAAATAATAATTATCTCCTACTGCATGAGAAAACTATTACTCTTTTAAAAAAAGGTGAGACTCAGATAATTTGTTTCTATATCCCTTTAATTATTTATCTTGTTGAATCCCACCAATTTCTTCTATCTAAAGCACTTGCACCGTATATTCTAAGATGTTTGCCATCTTTCTTTTGTTTTATCTATTTCCAGCATGCATTTCTTGGTGCTAAAGAATGACCATGATTTAGCTGACTTAGATCAGAAAGATTTGGAACATAAATTAACTTGGACAAAGTGATATCCCCGTTAACTTCAATGTGAAGGAAGAATATAACTGGCAATATATCTTTAACGTATAGCAGAAGGTTTTTTTTTCTATGGGGTCACATTCTCACCATGTACAATGCTGCCAACACAAATGGAGAGGACTCAGGTCACAGTTTTCTTTTCTTTCAACTTCTGGTGTAAGAGGAAGTTCACTGATACATTATCTTCTCATATCTCCCTTTATATCATAATATGGCAGCATTAAGGCTTCTTTTTTTTTACTAATTGATGTAATTATTACATTTTGATATCATCAATTTAGTGCAATTTTAGTTATTTTGATTTTAGAATGGTGCAAATCTGTGTTGCACCGACACGGACACCGACATGGCACACGGGATACGACACAACACTCTGACACATTAATTTTAAAAAATGTTAAATTTCGACATGTTAGGACACGTTTTGATATTATATAATATTTTAAATTTATGTAGTGTATATTATATTTAGTATTCAATAATTTAACAAAAAAATAAAGTTAAACTTATAATACCTATCAATTTTGCAAAGAAACATAATATTTCCCAAATGTTTATATTAAAATCAATAAAATCGTAATCATAATATAATGAATCTAATAGTTGGAACTCAAAATGTAACGCAACTTAAACTTTGAACCTTTTTTTGAGTCTTTGCAACGAGTATTGGAGTGTCGGGAAGTGTCGGACACGACACGACACGACAAGTCAGGATTTTTGAAATGTCGGTGCTTCATAGGTGCAAATTGCTAAGGTTGTGGATATAAATCGTAATAGATTTATTTAAAAAAATAAAAAATAAATTGATAAAGTCTTGGGTATAAGCATAACTTAAGTATATGGTTTGTTTTTTTAATATTAGTTTTATTAAGTTATTAACTTCATACACGACTTGGGATAAATTTGCTTTTTAAATATTATTTTAATGAAATCATGGACATGATTGATGACTTAGCTTGAAATCGTGACTTTTATCTATGATTTGTGTATCATGCTAGTCGTACATTTGAGTCACAAATTATGCATTATATATAATATAAATCACCACATATCTACTAGTAATTGCTTTGAATCACAAATTATAAAAGGAGTTTTTTTTTATAAAGAAGGAAACAAAAAAAAATTAAAAGTTTCCGGGAGTAGTTTTTTTTTAATGTATGTCAGCTTTTTGAAGTTTTCATATTTATTTTTTAATTTTATCTTTATTTTAAATTTGTATTAATAAATATTATTATTTATCTTAATAATTTATCCTAATAACAAATTATTTCATCTCTCTTCTTTCAAAAGACTAAGAACAATTTTATATAATTATTAAACAATTTTTAGTTTTATTTTTTAAACATTTTTCTATCTTTAGCTTAAAAAAATGTATCAAAGGAGTTATTTTTCATATATTAAAAATTTAAATAAGCTTAATAATGTAATTAAAATATTATATAAATTATTTGTCAAAATACTAGTTAAGTTTAACAATTTTATTTATATTTAATTTCACTTCGATTAACTGGAAGTGTATAACCCTTTTCATACTGATCGAGAATGAAACTGAAAGCTATTTGTGGTAAATAAAAATAAAATTAAATAAATAACCTCTAATTTGAAAATAGTAATGACTTTAAAAACTATATTTTAAGTTTTTAAATAACCTCTATTATTTTTCGAGGTTGATTTACACTTGATCGCATAACCCATTTGACATTAAGTAATTGAAAAAGGTGTGACAAGCACAAGGTATATAATCACACAACGCAAATTTGATGCTAAAATCCTAGTAAACCAACCAATCAAACATTCCCACTGATAAAGTCAAGTTGTTTAAGATTTAATTTTAAAAAATTTACTCAGATAAGATGTATTTCAAGATTATCGTGGAAATAATAAATAATAATTGAAAAAAGAATAATTCTCTCTTATAATTAATTTTAGAGTAAATATTCTTTTTGGTTCTCAGCAAATTTCACAATACCCGCTTTAGTCTTTAGCAAATAAAAAGGCCCATCCTGATATTTAAGAAATTCAAAATGGATCTATTTTAATCTTTTTAGGGACTAATATGGGTCTTTTTTGAATTTATGAGGGACCACGATTTCAACTAAATGAGTCCATTTTGAATTTCTTAGAGACCACGATGAGCCCTTTTATTTACTAGGGACTAAAACAGACATCGTAAAATTTGCTGAATACCAAAAATGATATTTAGTCTTAATTTTACTCTGTTTCAAATAGAGCTCAGCTGTCCAAAATAGTCTTCCATTGTAAAAGCGCGTCTTCATTGTAATACTGAATGCACGGTTTCGGGTTCCCAATCACAACAAGAGAATAAGCACACCCTATGACCTAAGATACATATACACAAGCAATGTGCTTCTTTCTTAAGCATAGATTACATTTCTTGTGTGATTAAATGAAGATTTTTTTTATTTTTTATTTTTTATTTTACAGAATTAAGAATTTTTTTTATAAATTTTAAGATGAATCAATGACCTCTTATTATGTATAAATTCCTGAGTCAAATAGAAATTTTTACTGGTCTTGTAAACGACTAATTCCTTGTAGGGGACTGTGATTCCTATCAGCATGTCCATCTATACTTATTTATTCGAGTTATACCCAAAAGTTCATTGTTCTTCCCATTTTTCAGGTTGATTGAGTTGTACAGCCAAAGTATAACCCTAGGATGTAGTGTTTGATGACATCCTTAAGTCTAGGACGATCTGCATTACCGCATGATGAAAAACATTACAAATTCAATGATACTCTCTACTATGAATACTTGTGGTTGTGGAGCCTCTCAACAGGGTAGTTTAGTGTAATTTGTTCTCTAACAGAACCACCCACGACATCAGCTAAGGCATCTTTATAGCTGCATTCTATAAGGTCCTTATCTTGTATCTCTATACATGTAGATGACATCATGCTAGTCTTGTCGATATCACCATTGTCTTATCTTGATGATTCTAAACTAAGAACAAGATTCCGGCGATAGACATGTAGTGCACTCCGATCCACAAGATCATGATCCCTATGATAGATCCTCGAGTGAACACTTGTTCTATATTTAGGGCATTTATCTTTAAATGCATATTAACCATAAATAAAAGGCCAGACAAAATATGATAAAGTTAAAGTATGCTCAAATTAAATTAATTATGAAATACTAAATAGTAAAAGGTGTTCATCTAACTAAACATATTGTCTCTATGACATTTGCATACTAACAATCTCTCACTTGGCCTAGCGACTCATAATTACCATTATGTTTTCTATGAGAAAGACCTTTCGTCAGGGAATCGACCAAATTATCATTAGTGGGAACATATTTCATCTGTATCTCCTGTCTTTCAACAATCTCCCGGATGAGGTGGTACTTGCTGAAAGATAGAGCCTTGAAGGTCGTAGGCATGTGAGGATGAAAACAAAAAAATTTCAAAGCGGAAACACACATACCAATCAAGATACATACTCTAGGACAGAGAGATACCTTGTTCGTAACTCAAAATTCGAAGGTGATCAATGTTAGGCTTGAAGGTTCAAACCCTCTAATGTTGATCCACACCACCCTTTGTCAAGACGCAAGAACTCTTCTTGAAAAGCCACCAACTCTAACACCACAAAGGAGCAAGCTAGGCGTCCCTTGTGAAGAGGTAGGAAGCTCGGTTTTATTATGTTTAGATGAGAGAATTTTTAGCCATAAAAATCTCACAAAGTAGCGCCCAAATTGTAGAAGAGAATGGCCTTTTTATTTTCCAAAAACCCTAAGGAGAATATCACAAAAAGGAAAACACTTAAGGAGATGAAAGAGGAATAAATTTGAATCAGATTTTTCACCAAAAATCTGATCATGGAGCGCCCCTTTTGTGGAGGAAATAGTGGAGTTGTTGCAAATCAAATCTAGTCAACAAACTCCTATCCTATCCTCTTAAAACTAAGTCTGCACCTAATCAATATTCTGACCTAATAACCATTATATGATCAGCCATATTGTGCGCCCCAATCAGCCCAAAATCATTCCAAAAATATTGATTAATTGCTATTCAAATTGAATCAACTAAATCAAATATTTCCACAACCAACCAAATCTGAATGGAGCTTGATTTGTTGATTAAATGACCATCATTAAGCCACCAAATCAGCGCCCCAATCATCTTTGATGATGTCCAAAGATCTCCTCTTGATACTTGGGATTTGATCTTGACAAGCTACTATCAAGATCTTATCCTTTCCTTTTGTTATGAAACTTCCTTTCATAGCCAATTCAAATTTGAACATTCTAATTTAAATATTCAAATATTTAAATTCAAAATTCAAATTCATAATTTAAATTTTAAATTTAAACATTAGATAATTAATTTAACTAATTAAATTAATTAATAATGTCTTGGACCATCCAAGCCCATTACAACAATCCATGCGCCCTTTTCCCTCTAAGGTGGGCATCCAAACTTCTTCTTGGGCTAACAACCGTTATTAGGCCCAAAACCTTTAATGCTATAATGTCAAGACAATAAGGTGTTAGTGTGTGACCCATTAGGCCCAACTTAGCCACTAACATAAATGGACTTGGGCCCAATAAGACCACAACTCATTTAATGACAACACAGAGCACTTGCAATGCTTTGTTGCCCCAGAGCTAGTTTGGTTAATGACATGATCATCTTATTAAATGTATTTGGTTACCGTATGTATTTCCTTTCGTCTCGGTTACCTTCCCATTAAACCTAGGGTGAGCAGATGTATCAACCCTTGTGATTTAGGGTAAGCTTTAATTCGAAATAGGGAATCTTCAATTTACTGACTCTAAAGGCAGATCATCTCATGATCTCTTTTACTATGCATAGATTCCCGAGTCCCGTAAATGTCATCCTGATTTCTCCGGTTTACAGATAACCTAATCCCTCACAGAGATTTGACGAATTCCTTCAGCTTATCACCCTAGGCTTGTGTTCTTTCAGGACATGCCCAAAGGTATACCTATGAATCTCCATGTTTCAGGAAAATGAGGTATACAATCAGAATATGCCTTCTAGAACACAGTCTAGGTGACAACTTATGGTCTAAGGAAAGACATACCCAAATAATAAGAAGTTGCTCTAATGATACTTTTGAAAGATTTCCTCATAGAGTCTCTTTGTAGGTCTGTTCAGTGCGAGCTATACTCTTATAGGTCCACCCACGACTTTAGCTAAGACATCTCCATATCTGTAGCTCATGAGGTCTT